TTTTTTGCTGTTTACTGAAATAAATTGGTGTAATAACCAATATTTGTATAGGTGTTGCGCCAAGGGCAAAGATGAATCAACAAAGATCGCGTAGATTTAGAACCGCAAAAGACGCAGCAGAAGCCATTAAAAAAGCACAGGCTCGAGGTGAAGATTTACCAGAAGAAGAACCTTTCGACAGCAATTGCATAACACCAGGTTTGTTAAAAATAAAAATTTATGGTTAGTCATATTTTTTTTAGTATTGATGTTCACGTTTTCTGGATGTTATCTATTAGGAACGGAGTTTATGAAAAAACTCTCGAAACAACTAGAATATTTTATTATTAAGAAAGTGTCCGAAGATGCTAATTGGCGGGATATCCAGATAGTATTATCGGGACACGAAGTACCGGGAGAAGGCGAACACAAAATAATGGAGTATATACGTACAGCTAAAGCACAACCCGATTATAATCCCAATGTTAGACATTGTCTATATGGATTGGATGCCGACTTAATCATGCTTGGTCTAGTAAGTCATGATCCGCATTTCGCATTACTTCGTGAAGAAGTTACTTTTGGACCCAGTAAAAAGAAAAAGAGTGGGTGCGTTGATTTTCGTAAACTATTTTTTTTTCAATGAATTATAAAAGATCAATCCGGTTTCCTTCATATCTGATTTATTCTTGATGCTTTTTTAAATCACAGCCGAATTGAGGAACAAAATTTTTACCTTATGCATCTTTCTATACTTCGAGAGTATCTTGATCTCGAATTTTCTGCACTTCGGGATTCACTACCGTTTGAATACAATCTTGAAAGAATAATTGATGATTTTATTCTGCTGGCTTTGTTTGTTGGCAATGATTTTTTGCCTCATTTACCAAGCTTGCATATAGCTGAAGGCGCATTAGGTTTGATGTTTCATGTATATAAAAAGATATTGCCGCTTGCAGGTTGTGTAATATTTACTGTGCTATTTTGCTTAAATTTTCAAAGCAATAAATTAATTATCGATGTTTGTTTTTAGGAGGATATATAAATGATGGAGGTCTTATGGATATGAAGCGACTTGAGATGGTTTTTAATGAATTAACTTACTTTGAAAGAGATGTGTTTGAAGATGATTCTGAAGACTTTAAATGGCTTAAAGGAAAGCAAAGAGTTACTATCGAAAAAATGGAACGAGAAAGAAAGAATAAAATTTTGGGTAAACAATTCTTTTCGATTTATTTTTGCCGTTGTATTTATTATATGAGGTATTTTTAACATGAACTTTATTTACCGTAATTTATTTCTAGTCATGACACAAAAACAGCGTGAGATTTACGAACAATTTAAGGAATTTGTTGATTCTGATCCTCAAGGACCTCTTGATTTTCCTCCCGATTTTAATGCACGAGACCGCAAGTTCGTTCAGGATCTCGCTGCTGAATTATATTTGAAATCTGCAATAACATACCATGAACATGATGAAGGGAAACACATATATGTAGACGTGGATGATGAATCAGACGACGAGATAAATGAAAGGAGAACTGAAGTGCTAGCCAGGTATGAAAAAGCTGAAGTTGTGGATGAGGATGACTTGGAAACAATCGCGGAAAAAGAAAAGAAAAAATACGACGAAAAATTCAATGAATGGAAGAAAGAGTATTATATGAATAAGATGCAGCTCGATGTTGAGAATAGCGATCATATGGATAAAATTGTTGGCTCATACATTGAAGGATTGCAATGGGTACTTCACTATTACTATAACGGAGTTGCTTCATGGGGATGGTTTTATCCTTATCATTATTCCCCGAAAATATCTGGTAAACTGTTCATCTATTCGCTGTATAGTCATATATTTTTTTTAACAAGTCTAACTTTTATTAAATTACAGATCTACACGATTTGGATCGATTTGATATCAAATTTGAGCTTGGCACTCCCTTCAAGCCTTTTGAACAATTGATGGGCGTTTTACCTGAAGGAAGCAAAAAGCTACTACCTGAGCCATTCCAGGTTTGTACACTTAAACAATTGTGAAGTTTAAAACAAATAGATTTGCTTTATTTTATTATTAAGATATTGTTTAATTCTGTGTAGTTTTTCATGATGGACTATAACTCGCCGATAAAAGACTTTTATCCGAAAGATTTCGAACTTGATCAAAATGGAAAAAAACAAGGCTGGGAAGCTGTCGTTAAAATTCCATTTATTGATGAGAAGAGATTAATAGAGGCATTAAAATGTAACTAATTCTTAAGTATCAAATAAAGATGCATATTTTAACTAATGAATTTATGAATTTTCATTTACAGCCAGAGAGGATAGACTTACAGAGGAAGAAAAAGAAAGGAATGGTTTTGGTGAAAGTTTTTTATTTACATACGACTCTTCTATCAATACACTCCACGAATCTCCATTACCTGGAGTTTTTCCATGTAAGATATTTCATGTGATTCTTCCTTTATGTAATATTATTACTAATCGCAAGACACTTATTGAATAATTTTCAGCTATTCGTAGCCATTGTAAAGTGGAGTCGTTCCATCTTCCAACACTGGAAGGTCTTAAATTGGTTAAGGGTCTTTGCGATGGTGTACAATTAGGAATAAAGGCAATGGCTGGTTTTCCTTCTCTGGAAACAATATCGCATACTTCGGCAATAATGCAACATGGAGTGAACGTTTTTAATTCAGAGAGCAAGTTAGTATAATCTACTTAATTTGCATTACACGACTATACTTGAAATTAATAACATTTTTCTTGGAAATTCAATAGAAACGAGACAATGGTCATTACGTTGGCAAATGAATACGAGCATAAGAGAACTGAAGAAATTGCTGAACAAAAACTTGGCAAAAAAAT